AACGAACTAGCAGATCATGTTGCTTTTGGAATAATCCACCAATTTTTTAAAATTAAACACTATCTAAAGATTTGCATCGAAACGTTTTTTTTTGTAGTGATTTTAATCACTGTCAGATATCATAATACTTGATCCAACTATGCCACGTCACCTCAGTGCCACGACCCCCCGTGCTGGGTTTTTTTTCTATCATATTATCAAATCAAAAATAGTGGTTCCCATTTAAAAAAAATTATAAATAAACATTTTTATCATTGAAGGGAAAAAAAAATATTTAATTTCATATTATTATAGAGTTTTATAAACTTAATAATTTTTCTTTTTACAAAAATTTTAAATTCTGAGAAAATAAGTGTCTTACCACATTTCAATCACTCTGTATAATTTCAAGACCCTTATGCTAGCAAAAGAATTTATATTCTACTAAAAATAACTAAAATTTTTCAAAAATCACACTCAATAAAAGTAAAACTAGACACTCAAATCAGCAACAATAAATAATTACACAAACTACTTACGATCTTCTGGCTGGCCAATTCTTCCCAGTGCTAAATAATAAAAACTATAGATAATACAATGTAAAAAGATCACAACAGTCATATTTTCTCAACGATTTAACATATCGGTTGATTCATAACGTTACCTAATGGTTATCAATCGTGATATAGATAGCCGCCGTTATTGGCGGGATTCAGTATCATTGACAACGTTATGACTAGTATCTAATTCAACCTCAAAAAATATATAGTTTAAAAAACACGCTTTTAAAGCACATCGAACTAAAAAGTTAAAAATATTTTTTTAAATTTGTTTAAAATAACTATGAACAAAAAATACTAGTATTTTTTGTTCATAATTATTTTAAACATATTTTAAAAATAAATATAGTTAAAAAAAACTAAAAAAACACGCTTTTAATGCACATTGAACTAAAAAGTTAAAAATAATTTTTAAATTTTTAGTTCGATGTACTTTAAAAGCGTGTATTTTTAGTTTTTTTTAACTATATTTATTTTTTACTTTTTAGTTTCATTTGTTATGAAAGGTTGATTTTTAGTTTTTATAAAGTATATTTTTTTTTACATAAATAGCTCGGTATTTATGTTTTTGGTTAAAATATTGTTAAGGACAGGGGCACTAAATATTATAGTGCATACTCGAACCGGCTAAAAGCACTTAATATTAATATTTAAGTATATATATATATAATAATGAAACTTATGTACGGAAATGTATCCTACACGAGGTAAAGCTGTTTTTTATAGGCCTAGGATTTGTCCCGTATCATCATTTTTCGTCACAACCTCCACGTGCCGGGAGTGGATAATTTGCGTGCCTACAGCTTTCCATGGTGTGGTAGCCGTTTCTCAAACTCCCTCACCGGAATCGAACCCTGATTCCCTGTTACCCGTTACAACGTAAGTAATAATACAAACGATTTTATGGGACCCGGTTGTTAAATGATATATCGAACGCGTTGATATAGAGTGTATTGTATACTACTTGTCAATCTCTAGCTATATACTAATTGCTGTATATTGTTGCAATTTTATGTGTATCAGCGGCGGCGCCTCACGCGCAATGAGAGAAACAACTGGTGAATCTACTTGTTTTATATTAAAAAAAAATAATTAACGAAGTGGAAATCTACAATTGTTGCGCTATTGACAATTTATTATAACCGGGTGGGGAATTCACTGCTGTCGAACTGTGTGATTGAAGTAACTCGGAGAAGAGGGAACGTGAAGAAAACCTAGCTGGTTTATTTGAAAAAAAAATTTAAAAGAACTAATATAAGCGTGTTAATAAAACATAAGGGTGATAAAATCAAGTCAGAAAATTGTCTTCTTAACTTGATCCAATGTAAGACCTGTTAAGATCCTTACTGGGGAAACAGTTGACACTACTTACGTCATAAAAATGTGGTCGTCACTGGTTTTGAGGATAGAGACCCGTGGGCTGTTTATTAATGAGCAACAACAGGTTATTTCAACGAAAAATAAAACAAACCGAATAGATGAACATAATAATAAAATAATCTTCGCATAATATCGCGGCACTTTCGCTGGCATCGACGACGCGTTGTCCGGCGTGTTCCTCGGACGTCAACAGGTTAGCANCGTGTTCCTCGGGCATCAACAGGTTAGCAACGTTGATGGCGACGGTGCGCGAGTGCGGATCGAATCGTAGACGTTGTCACTTTGACAACGGGAAGAAGATTACGATATAATTTGCGGCGGGATGTCGTCGGGTGTGCGGCGCTTGCTGGACTTTGCACCGCGGCGTATAACGCGAGGTGTTGGCCAGTCAAATACTCATAATAGGGCGACTGCTGATAAAGGTGGCACGAGTCGTGGGGCATTGTGTATAACGAAACGACGCGGGGCCGTATCAATCACAATAAAAATTTGTTATATATATTTATATATATACATAATTGATGACACGCGCGCGTCTACGGGTTGGAAAATATTGTTGTCTACGAGAGGTGAGCGAGGTGGGGCGAATGCGTTACGACAGTATAGTCTCAAGGTCATACACGACGAGATACGTGACATAATAACACGTGCCGCGTGGAGTTACAAACTTACAAACGACAAACAACAAACATACATAAGAAACTAATAAAATATATAGTTTAAAAAAACACGCTTTTAAAGCACTTCGAACTAAAAATTTAAAAATAATTTTTATAATAAGCTTAAAACAATAATGTACGAAAAGTACTAGTATTAGGTCAGCATATTTCAAACATCAAAGAGTTCACCGCATAGTAATGATTATTGTCGTATGAATCTTATCATCGGATGCCAGACGTTTAGGTAATCATATTTCCAACGTCAAAGATGTTACAATATATTAATGGTCACTGTCGTATGCATTTTATAAGAAAAATGGCAATGTTGTCTTTTTTCACGCCTAAATACTATGGCATCTTACACGTACAACTATTGTACTGTGCAGAAGAGAAAAAAAACGTTGTAGTATATCAATATATATATTTACAGATGTGTACACGTATATGCATATATTTTTTAGAAAAAATACAATTTCTTATTACATTATATTACATTAAAAAACAATGTTTTAAAACTACTTATATACATGTATATTTACAAAAAATATTTTCAATTCTTGACAATATTTTTCTTACAAAGATAATAACTTAAAACTATAGGTCTTCCGGTGGTGGTATAGCATCATTCCCATGGGCCAACGTGTCGATTCTGTTGTCGAGCGTGTAGCGCTTATCATCGAATTGGTTAGATGCGTCCACGTGCACCAATAAATCGGGGCTATCAGCTAAATCCTAGTAGAAGTCGCCTACTCTGAGCAGGTATATGAAGGAGTCTGAGAAAAATTAAAAAATATATAAATATAATAAAAAATATTTCTACTAAATAATTTCTCCATTTTAAAATATTTCTATTTTGTATGGTTGTACTCACCAGTATCCATGTAAACCAATTCGATTGCGTTGCCATAATGTGGTTTCAATACGTCGTAGAAGTACTTGTACATTAGCGTCTTGCTAATGTCAAGCACTGCTAAACCGACGTATATTGGTTTGATAAACTTGACCATCTTTGTGTCCATTATGACAGCGTACAACCTTTCACCGTATTTGATACAGTCGCTGAAGGTTGGTTGGTTTACGAGCTTGCTTAGACGTTCGGGACTGGAGATTAGCTAAATTCGGATGCGTTTCCGCATGTTCTCCATTGTTTTCCCTATAAAATGTAAAAAATTATCGAATAACCCACTTTAGCATTGAGCATGCACTTACCAAAGACGGCATTATTCATTAGTTTGAAAAATGCTATTTCAAAAGCATTTGCCGCCTTTTTCCGCATTTCAGTGTTCAACTCAATGTATGGTTTCAACCAAGCACTTTGTTGAAACTCTAAAACGCGGTGCACCTGCAGTACAAATATTTATATTAGTATCATCGCTTATAGTTTATAGGTTAATTATACATACTTTATCGACTTGCAGTCCGTGTGCGATTGCCTGTTAACATTAAATGTTTTTAAACCACCGCTCAACTATTGCGCGTTTATATATGTACGTATAGATTACTTACAGTCTTGATACACGATCCATGAGTCTGGTTTTGACGGATCGTAATCGAGTGTCTTAGGATTGTTGGCCTTTGGATAGTGCTTGACGGCCTGCACTAGCCCACCACGAATGCCCTGTTCCACCATCAGTAGCATATCGTAGTCGTTCAAGAGCTCCAATTCATCCTGGTGTATTTCAACATACAATCGAAGCTAAAACCGGGTGCAGTGTAATAATTCGCCGGATCCAAATTGTATGTTGAAGTACAGATGTCGCGAAGGTATCAAACACGTCAGCCAACAACAACACGTCGATCTTAAGATATAGGTCGCTGTACTCACCGAGAGTTGAGCAGCCGAAACGGTTCCACACCTCTGTGGCATGTCTATAGTCGTCGTCATCGATATTAGACTCACTCAACTGACTATAGAAAGCGTTCTGAGGTGGTAGTTCCGTTTCGTCCAATTTAAACCAACTATCAGTGTACTAGTATTACTGTACAGGTATACGACCTTACGCGTCACCAACGGCATGTCTTCCGGGCGGAACACCTTTGCCGTATCCCGGAATTTAACGAAGTCGGGCGTCATTAGGTTACCGGCCAAGGTGGATAGGGCCATGAACCGGAAGGTATCGACAAACCGTATGGAGAAGTTATTGGTCACGTGTTTTGTGACCGAAATATACTTCTCCTCGGAATTCGGTATGACCGAAATCCTTTGATCGTCGTACCTCAATTCAGTGACTATGAAATGCGCGCCGTAACCTGAAAGATTGTGCAAGAAGCACGACACAAAGTTGACCGTCTTCACTTTCAGGTTACATGCATAGCACAACGTCTGTCTGATTCGGCCCGATAAATGGCAATGGTCTGCGATTTTGGGGTATGAATCCTTGAATTCCGTGCGGCACAAGTCGCATACCACTTTCTCCCCGTGCCTGCGCACATCATCGACAGACATTCGGATAGGAACGATGGTTTTGCGCAAAAATTTAGAAATGTTGCGCGTCACTTCAGTTACAGCCATCACAAATGCCTTGGCGACCTCTTCGCGATCCTCGGACCCACGGTATATCACCGGTAATTGTGGTATACCATAGCGTTCGAGGAGCTCGGAGGGCACATCGTCCGATGTTTTCACCATGAACCCGTAGCTCATGGGATGGTGGGTGTGCACAGTCCTAGTATAGGCACCCATACGATCGTCTGTTAACCGTTGCGTCTTTACCCACGCGTTAAAAGTGACCTTACTACCCTCTGCCGGCATAACAGGTAAAATTGGTTTATTTTTGTCGCATATCAACTTGTGTTGCTCCAACGCTTGTTGATCCCGAAGAATATGGTTTTTAGGCATATCATCAAAACTGGTGAAACAACGTTTATAAGTGTATATGTGGCCATGATGTTGAGTGTTTTGGCTGCGCACGAGCCTCGAAAAATCGGAAATGTACGCGAAATTATACTTGTCAGAGTCACCGATGTACAACAGGTCAAAATGATTCTGTTGCTCTAAGTCGGCGACTCTTAGAGGATACACCAACCACTTCATCTTAACGTCATCTCGTTCCAAGCCGTACACGTTGACAGACACGTTAGGGTTTCGTCGCTCAAATATTTAAATTTGGGACACAGGTGTGGGGAACGTCAACCCCGTGAAATCATACCTGTGTTCCTCGTTAAAATATTTTTCATTAACGCGATATTTATTACTCCCGCTAACATGTCTTGCCAAAATGGACCACTTGAAACAAGACTGATTGATATTCTGTGGGTTGATGATTGCTTTTCTTTGATTAATCTCTGGTGGGACAGGAATATATGATGAGCCGACGAGAGGCGTATACTTGTATACGCTGAGCATAAGGCCGTCGATATGCATTAGCGTGAATCCGCTACCCCTAACCGAGTACGCGTTTTCCTCGGCAAACATAACTTCAAAATCTTCATCGACCGCACACCCGATATCCGTATCAATGCCCTAGCCCGTGTCTTGAAGGCACGGTCTTCGGACGGTGCTTCTGATCGCGGTATATGGTATGAGGCCTCCAATTTGAGATTATACTTGATCGGACGATTACCTACAATGTCAGCGAGTCTGGCCACCAGCTCGGGTTTAACGACGCGCAGAAAATCTCGATAGCTCGCGAAATTTTCCACGTTCTTCCGGTAAAACAAAACGGCTCCCCACTCCATGCGGAATCAATCTCGGTGAAATCACTGGTATCTGTCAATTGCATTCGTAACCGTTTCGACCTAACCGCGCTGTTGTTGGCCCTACTACGCTTAGCCGCCTGATGTGACGAAACAAATGTGGCGGAAGTAGCTTTAATCAAAAATGAAATAAATTATTTATTTATTGGAAAAAAAAAAATAAAAATACTAGGGGTGGTAAAATTAAAGAGATATTCAAATGTTAATAATTGTAAAAATCTACATACCTGTTACAGAAGACGTTTCTTGGTTCATGATTTTTTATTTGCGCGTGTAAAATATTAAAATAATAAATTATTGTTTTCAAATAATCAACTGTGTGTTAACATCAATTAAACACGTATGTGACAGGATACAGAGCGTTTAACCGGTTATATAATAAAATAACAAAATGCGTAGGCGTGAAAAAAGACAACGTTGCCATTTTTCTCATAAAATGCATACGACAGTGACCATTAATATATTATAACATCTTTGGAAATATGCTGACCTAAGCGTCTGGCATCCGATGATAAGATTCATACGACATTACCGTACAGTGATCTCTTTGATGTATGAAATATGCTAACCTAAGCGTCTGGTAAACGATGATAGCANCGTACAGTGATCTCTTTGATGTATGAAATATGCTAACCTAAGCGTCTGGTAAACGATGATAGCAATTTTTCTCATAAAACGCATAGGCGTAAAAAGACAACATTGCTATTTTTCTCATAAAATGCATACGACAGTGACCATTAATATATTGTAACATCTTTGATGTTTGAAATGTGCTGACCTAAGCGTTTGGTAACCGATGATAACATTCTTAGAAATTATAATGTCATAACGACAGACGTTGTCATTATTTCATAAAATGCTGACGCCTATGAGCGTTATAATATAGTAATACATTTGATGTGTGAAATATGATTACCTAAACGTCTGGTAACCAATGATAAAATACATAGAAAATGATAGCTTTGATAAAATGCAAACGGCAATTATTCTCATAAAATCCTGACACCAATGAACGTTTTAATATAGTAATACCTTTGTTGTTGGAAATATGCTTAGCTATGCGTCTGATAACCGATGATAAAATTTTTAAATTTTTAAACACCCCCACCTAAATCACCTAATACCCCCTCCAACATAAAGCCACGCCATCTCCTTACGACATCTATGATAAGACCATGCCTCTCCTTACCTCATCATTGATAAGACCTCGCCTTCTCCTTACCCCTACCCTCATATGACCACGCCTATCCCTACCCTATCATTGATAAGACCACGCCTTCTCCTTACTCCCAGCATCGAGAAACCACGCCCATTGTATGACCTTGATCACGGTCATTACCCCCACCATCGAGTAACCACGTCCTCTGTATGACACGCCCCTCCCCCGACAACGACAACTCATCAGTTTAATGGGTGAGGTGGGGGGGTCTCGAATTTCCAATATTACCCTACTAAGCGTGTTAATTATTTTTAACTTTTTAGTTCAAAGTGCTTTAAAAGTGTGTTTTTTTAGTTTTTTTAAGCTATATTTATTTTTCACTTTTATTTTCATGTTATGATAGTAGTTACTATCAATAACTTGGAGGTTAAGGGTAATGGGAAATCAGAGTTCAATTCTGGAGAGGGAGTCAGAGAAACGGCTACAACATCCAAGGAAAGCAGCAGGCGCGTAACTTACTCAATCACAGAATGTGAAGGTAGTGAAAAAATGACGATACGGAAATCATCCCTCGTAATCAGAATGAATACTTTATATCTCTTAATTAGAATAAAGCGTGATAATATATAAATTTTAGTATTTTATTGCTTACCAAATAAAGAACCCATACCAAAATATATACCTAAACATAATATAGTAGCTACGATTATTTTAAATATATTCAATTAATGCAGGGTAAACAAATTTATGATAAAAATATATAAAATGTATTTTAAATTAATTATGTTTTATTCAAATAAACTGTTTAGTCTTACCTTACTGAATTTGTGATATATATGCAATTTAATTAGAATCAAATTTATAAACAATTACACTTTGATAGTACGTTCATGATTCAAAATAAAAGAGTTATATATTAAATTAAAATATATTGTAAGTGGGTCTAGTTTTTTAGGATCACTAAAAATCAATTATGATAAAGATATATAAAGAATTTATCTTAATTAATAATATTTTATTCAAATAAACTGTTTAGTCTTATCTTACTGAATGGTAGTAATTTATTGCTTACCTCCTCCTAAGACAAGAGGACCAGAATTTATACCTAAACATAGTAGATTAGATTTTTTATTTATTTTTTTCTATAATATAAAATTTAAGATTTAATTATGTTATTAACTGATATTAATACATTGAAATTATAATATATTTTATTGTTAAATGTTTAAACTATTAAATATTAATTTTCTTATAATTTCTTATATTTGATATTAAACGTTAATACGTTTAAATGTAATATATAGACCTATATCACGAATCAAAAGTAATTCCAACACTCAACACAAACTTTTTCTATTTTTCTTTTATTAATTTTTGAGTTACAATAATTACTAAAACATTAAAAATTGATTTTTTTTTTTATTATTTCTTATGTTTAAAATTAAAATTTAATACAGGTCAATATAAAATATAAACAAAAATAACTCTTTCTCCAAATTATACCTTATATAAACTATGCGAGTTATCCAACTCATAAAAAATAATAATTATATAAATTAATTAAAATGAAATTACATAGTATTCACATCGAAATCGATATATATTTATAATGTATTGAGAAACAAACTTAAAATAAATTATTCCTTGACAATACATTTATTTTTCTAATGAAAATGGTAATATATTAAATAAGATATGTTGTCGATGGATTTAAACATTTAGGATGACTTGAAATCAATTATGATACTAATATATTAAAAAATTTTTCTTAATAAATTATTTTATTATTCAAATGAAATTTTTAGTCTAATCTTAATTCATGTTAGTAATTTATTGCTTACTTTNTTAAATGTAATATATAGACCTATATCACGAATCAAAAGTAATTCCAACACTCAACACAAACTTTTTCTATTTTTCTTTTATTAATTTTTGAGTTACAATAATTACTAAAACATTAAAAATTGATTTTTTTTTTTATTATTTCTTATGTTTAAAATTAAAATTTAATACAGGTCAATATAAAATATAAACAAAAATAACTCTTTCTCCAAATTATACCTTATATAAACTATGCGAGTTATCCAACTCATAAAAAATAATAATTATATAAATTAATTAAAATGAAATTACATAGTATTCACATCGAAATCGATATATATTTATAATGTATTGAGAAACAAACTTAAAATAAATTATTCCTTGACAATACATTTATTTTTCTAATGAAAATGGTAATATATTAAATAAGATATGTTGTCGATGGATTTAAACATTTAGGATGACTTGAAATCAATTATGATACTAATATATTAAAAAATTTTTCTTAATAAATTATTTTATTATTCAAATGAAATTTTTAGTCTAATCTTAATTCATGTTAGTAATTTATTGCTTACTTTCTGTTGAAGTATTAGCCAAAGAATTTACACCTAAACATAGCAGATTAGTTCTTTTATCCAATCTTTTTAGTAGTATTCAAATTAAAGAATAAATTATATTATATCTGATACTAATGCATTAAAATTTTATATATTGACACTTTTATATATATCTTAAATCGAGTGTATGTAATATAATTTATTATGAATATTAAAAATGAATCATAAATGATATATTATTATTATCATAATTAATGTGAAACTGAATGCTAATACGTGTAAATGTAAAATATATAAAATTATAATAATTTATCTGAATTAAACTATATAGACTATATGAGTTAACTAACTCATAAATATAATACATAATCTATTTAAAAATAAAAAAAAGTACTTAGTATTTTACACCAATGTTGAGATATATAATTGCAACACATAAGTGATAAATATGAAATGTAAATAGAATCAAATATAAAAAAAAATTATTCTTTGATAGTACGTTCACGTTTCTAAAGAAAAGAATAATATATTAAATTAGGATTTATTGTAAATGGGTATCGATATTTAGGATCACTAAGAATCAGTTACACTAATAGTATATAAAAGATATTATCTTAATATATTATGTTATTTTGAATATTAACTTTTTAATCATATCTTACTGAATGGTAGTTATTTATTGCTTACCTGCTGGAGTATTAGGACCGAACCTTAGACCTAAACACAGTAGATTAGTATTTATATCGAATTTGTGATATACATGCAATTTAATTAGAATCAAATTTATAAACAATTACACTTTGATAGTACGTTCATGATTCAAAATAAAAGAGTTATATAT